CTTATCTAGAAGCCTCACACTCTGAGGCTCCAGCGGGAGTACAGGACTGCACAGAGAACTGGAGAAGCAGACACAGGAGTTCTATCTTTGGTGGCTCTCCCACACCCCACACAGAACGCAGACCCCTTTGTGGGCCCAGTGCTCTCACATGCAGGCAGGGCATCTCACCGCTCACATCATTCCTGAGAACTAGTGTCCTCACCCACAAGGCCATGCCAGCCATGATTAAATGGGGTGGCCTGGACTCCTGCCAACGCTTTAGTAGGCCAAAGGTGGAGCCAGGAAGAACTGTTTTCTCAAGGACCTCCCCTCTCTCCAATGTGAGTTTACAATGGGCCCTGGGAAAATGACAGCTGGTGGAAATACAAGTGATTTATCCAGCAGTAAAAACTGTCCCCCAGAGGCACAGGCTATTGCTTTGTAGGACATCAGCCAGTTTTATATCTAAACTTGCACTCTACCCCAGCACTGTTTTTCTATGACTACATAAACCAGTCGTGCAAATTCGTTTTTACCAGAGATTCTGCTAGTTCCCTAGTTAATGGCTGATGTAAATCCTTGACACATGCTCCTTTTTTATTTCTCAAGGTAGACTGATAGCTAATGTCCCACACCCCCAGTTTTCACTTGTGTTATAGTTCACTTGCATTTCTGTGATATATTGTCTCACAATCCACATTGCTGTCCAGCAGGGGACTTTTAAAAAACATTGATATTTCTGGGATATTTCCTGGCTCTGCATTTTCTGACAAGCACATTTCATGGCCTCCTGGGTCCTCCTCTGGGCCTGGCAGAGGGTCAGGGTCTTGACTCAGGTCAGCTTACCAACCACCCCGGGGTAATATGTGAGGAAGGTTTTACAATACCCACTGCCTGTCCTCTCTGGCCTTCAGTCTTGCCCCCACCCACACTATGACCCAGACTGACTGACCCAGCACCAGCAGCAATGGGCGACCAGGACGAAGACTCAGTCAATGGGACTGAGACGCTGGGCGCTGAGTTGAACCAAGACTGACCACTTGCCCATCTGTGGTCTTTGCACAAGTCACCTCACGAGTCTTTCTGGACCTCAGTTTCCGCATTAACAAAATGGGGCTGACCGTCTTCCCTACAGGGTTGCTCAAAGAACCACAGCCGGGAACATCACAGGGAGCCCCAAGTGTCCACCTCAGTAAACACCCCACGGTCCCAGGCTTCTTGGACACGCACCTTGACACCGGTTTAGTGATAGTTTCGGTTCTGGTTCTCCTGGAACGGGCGAGGGGAGAGCCCAAAGGCTCCACCAAGACGTAAGAATTCAAAAATATCCACAGATGGGCCTCCCTGATGGCACAAGGGGTTAAGTACCGCACTATGGGGCAATCTAAGACCTCGGCAGCATGAGTTCGATCCCTGGCCGGCGTCGGAGCAACCCACGTGGCGAGCAGACCTCTCCTGTCTCCCCACTGCTCCCCTCAGCAGTGTGTTTCAGTAGATCTGCCTGTTCTGCTCCCCACTCTGTCTCTGGTGAATCCCCTCACCCTTCCGCGCATCTGGCCTGTACCCCGGTTCTTGTATAAATAAAAAATACATCTTTAAAAAAAAAATATATATATATATATATGTATCTCCACAGATGGCGACTGACGGGGAAAGATGGGCTGCAAACACCTGAGGCACCTGCGGCAGATGTTGACCACACCCTCCACAGCTGCGCCCTCTCGCCTGGAACGCCCGGGCTGGGCCTCCGGAGCTGGAGGTTGGGTCTCGGGAGCACCGCGGGCGGGACCCCGCTCAGGGCGCCCGGAGCCCGGCAGCCCCCGGGTGCGAGGAATTCCGGCGTCCGAGACGCGCCGCCGCCTTCCCGCCGCTCGGGAGGCGCCCGCAGCGCCGCGGGGCCCAGTCAGCGTCGCAGCTGCCAGTCACGGCTGCGCCCTGCGGCCGCCAGAGGCCACGCGCCCCGCCCGCCCCGCCGCGCCGCGCCCCTTGTCCACTCTGACCTATGGTCCCCAGGCCACGGCCCGGGCCCGCCCCGTTCCGTTTCGGCCTATGGCGTCCCCGCTCCCCCCCGCCTCTCGCCCCCTCCGCGGCCGACCCCACCCTCCGGGGCACGTAGGGCCCGAGGCCCCGCCCACGCGCCGAGACGCTTTGGCTGGCGCGGCGGGGCGGCTGGCGCGGCGCTGGAGTTGGGGCGCGTTGCGCAGGTGAGCGCGGGCCCGGGGTCCAAGGTCGCCCGCGGGGCGCCGCCGTCCCGGGCCGTCTTCCCCGCCATGTCGTCCCGGCCGGCCGCGGACTCTCCTCTCAGGGGCCCCGCGGGGGGCGGCGCCCGGTGTCCTTCGCTGAGGGGCGCCCTCCTCGGCCCGGCCTCCCGCGGCCGCCCCCGCGGCGCGCGCGGCGTTCGCGAAACGGAGCCCGAGCGTTCGGGCCCTTTGGCGCCGGGTGGGTTCGCTTGTGCGCTTCTTGGGGGAAGGCATCAGTTATGGAGTGTTAGATGAAGGGGTCCAAAGTCTGAAGCCCCAAAACGAGACTGTGCGCTGGGAACGAGCAGCCCCGGGACGTGGTGGCGACTTTCCGGGTGTTGTGTGTCTAGCGGTCGTGCTGTGTCATATAAAAAACTAAGTTTTTTTATATGTTTGCACCAGGTTTTGTGGGACCCGGCACTTTAAGGCATTAACGTTTTTCCTTTTGTTTTCTGCTTGGGACTGGCCAAGGGCGAAATTCACGTAAGAGGCAGATTTTCCACTGGATAATTTAATCGAAAAGTTTTTGAAAGACTGAAAATTGTCGAATTACACACTGGTCATTTCAAGATTTGCTGTAGCGTTCATCATGCTCTGAAATTTGCCTGAGTGCAGTAGCGGTGATATATTTATTAGATTTAGGCTTTTTTTTTTTTTTTTATTTTTTTAGATTTAGGCTTTATTTCTAACTATTTCAATCTCGGATGCCTTTAAACGTTATGATTCAGGGTCGTCGTCGTGAACACTCATTTTTTCCTTGTGGCTTCAGTTGAACTTTCCCTGCCCCCTCTGCTTACTGTGTGTGCTTAAAAACTTAGCTGGACCTTGTTTCTGCTCTGTTGCTGCCTGGCTGGTTTAACATCCTGTGGGAGCAGGGGCTATTCTGCTCAGCCCAACTTCAAGGCGTCCACAGCAGGTACATTTCCCGGTCCTGCCCTCACCCCCCCAGCACCCCCCCCTCCCGGCCCCCATTGGTCCCAATCCCAAGAAAGAAGGGGTTCTCTGTCTGTAAGCCCTGCAACTGCTCACCTGTCCTTTTGAGCACTTCCTGTATCTTCACCCCTTCTCCCACCTGTGTGGAATGTTGGGGCACACGTTTTGCTGAGTAGAGAGCATAGAATTGACTGTTAAGAATTTATACTTGGGGTTAAGCAATGCACTAAGAAGCAATGTGCAGCCTCTGCAGCATGAGTTCCATCCCCGGCAGGCCAGGGAACTACCCACATGGCACAGCAGACCTCTCCTGTCTTACCTGCTGCTCCCCTCAGCAGTGTATTTCAGTCTGTGTGCTTGTTCCACTCCCCACTCTGTCTCTGGTGAATCCTCTCACCCCCCGCATCTCTGGCCTGTATCCCAGCTCTTGTATGCATAATAAATAAATCTTAAAAAAAAAAAACTTAAAAAAAAAAGAATTTATACTTTGTTAATAGGTGAATGCTAAGGCTGTTCTGGACCTTGAGGCACAATTGACTTAAATTCTTTCTGTGCATTTCACTCCCTTAGTCTCTATCTCATGCATATTTCTAACTGTGCTTTTCAAGCAGATAGAAGAATTTTGCTTCTGGCAAAATTTGCACCTGCTTTTATCTGTATTAGAGTTGCTCCAAATACCATGTTGGATTGTCATTGGAAAATTGCTCCAGTTGTCCTCTGCTGTTTTCTGGGAGTCATCTTGGCAACCTCAAACCATTTGCAGCCAGCTTGGGGGGAGCAGCAGGGCAAGTTTAGAGAAGATATTTAGAGAGGAACACAGCATTTGGTTGTGCAAGGACGGAACAGTGACAAACCAGTCTGCCTGTTTGCAGTCCTGTGCAGGTCACCTGTTCCCAGGCATTCCCGCTGCACATGAGTGGAACAGCAATGAGAGCCAGTCAGGTGAACTTTGAAAATGCAATGAATCAGGTGAAGCTTTTAAAGACAGATCCAGGAAATGAAGTGAAGCTAAAACTCTATGCACTCTATAAGCAGGTAAGTGTCTGAGGCCTAATAGAATTTAAAGACCTTTTGAGCAGATGGCTTCTCAAATAGTTATGCTGGGTGCTTAAAATCCGACTTGAATATTTTTAGGTTTGTGTTGCTGCCTTTCCTCTGAAGTGTCTCCAGGAGCATTTCGGTACATTAGACTTTGAAATACACTTGTCTCCCCTTTCTCAAAAGCGCCTTCTGCCACTTCTTCAGGAGCTGTGTGACACAGCTGTGTATTTATCATGTCAGTGCTACTTCACTATGTGTGTTATTGTGGGTTTTGTGTGTTACTTGGTATGACAGGTAGGAATAGTCTGTTCATGCCCAGAAATGTTTCTGTATAAATGAAAGGTAATTATCTTTTTGCTTTATACCATTTTGGCTTATGAAAGTTTTCAGAGGAACACCACTTTTGGATAAAAGGGGAAACCTGTACTGCTAAGACAAAAAAGTAATCCCCCAGGATCACTCCAGAGTAAAAGATTTAAAAGATATCCCAACCAAATATGTAGAACTTGCTGAGTGCTGATTAGAATAAATGGAGACTTTTTCAGACAATTGGGGAAATTTGGACATGGAATATTGGATGATCCCAAGGAGGAGTTAGTGCTGACAGTGTCATGTTTTCATAAGAAAATGTTGATTTTTCTTAGCAACAATGCGTACTAAATATGCTGAGGCAAACTAGAATGGTGTTTGGGAATCACTAAGATAATTGAACAAAAAAAGAAGAGGATGGGTGAAGCAACAATGGCCAAAAAAAAAAAAGTTGTTAATCATGGCTGATGAGTACGGAAAATCCTTTATATTAGTCTGCTTTTGCTATGTCTGAAAATTTTTTATAACAAAAATTTTAAAACTTAAATTTTAAACTTCCAACGTCCATAAATTTCCCTTGTGAGGTCAGTTCTTCTGGGCTCCTGTGTGCTTTCTCTCTATTCCTGTGATTGGTATGAGTCTCTTACTTTCGTGTGGGTGTGGAGAGAGTTAAGAATTTAACTTTGCCCATAAAAAAGGCCTGACCTTTGCTCTGACCTCTAGGCCCTTGAACTACCAAGCGCCATAGAAGTGTTATTGTTTACCCAAGTAGTCTGGTGGTGTGATTTAGAGTGGGACTGGCCCAGCAGAGTCATTCGGTGACCTGGGGTGGGGCCTCTCGCTTCCACAATCAGTCATACCTGCAGGATGGAGCCCCTGATGAACACCGCGGCTTGAGTGAGCTCCCCTGGTGGACCCATCCTGTGTGTGTGTTCAGTCAGTTCTGAGGATATGGGTTGTCCTGACTGATGGAGGGGATAGTAGGGGGTACTTCCCCAGACTCCCCAGCATGTGTCTCCTCCTCACTGATGTTAAGTTGTATCCTTTTCCCAATAAACCTTAACTACTATGAGTGTAATAGTGCCCAGGGTGCCCTGCAAGTCATTCTAGCAGATTATTGAACCTGAGGATGGGCTCAGGAGTCCCTACCTTTGCACCTGGCATCAGAAGTAGGGGAAATCTTGGGCCTCCCCTGATGGCGCAAGCAGTTAAGCACCGCACTGTGAAGCTGTCCGCAGCCTCTGCAGCGCAGGTTCAATCCCCGGCCAGCCAGGGAGAAACCCACATGGTGCAGCAGACCTTTCCTGCCTCGCCCACTGATCCCCTCAGCAGTGTGTTTCATCATTCTGCCTGTTCTGTTCCCTGCTCTGTCTCTGGTGAATCCTCTCACCCTCCCGCATATCTGGCCTGTACCCTGGTACTTGTATAAAAAAAAAATCTTAAAAAAATTTTTTTGAATAGGGTTATTAAAAGTGGAGGGTTTTTTTTTATTTTTTTTAATTTTTTTTTTTTTAAGATTTATTTATCTATGCATACAAGAGCTAGGGCACAGGTCAAAGGTGTGTGGGGGGAGGTGAGAGGATTCACCAGAGACAGAGTGGGAAACAGAACAGGCAGATTGACCAAAATACACCGCTGAGGGGAGGAGGGGTGAGTCAGGAGAGGTCTGCTGTGCCATGTGGGTTGCTCCCCGGCTGGCCAGTAATCGAACTCATGCTGCAGTGACTGCGGATTGCTTCATAGATTGCATCTTAACCCTTGCGCCACCAGGGAGGCTCTAAGTGGAGTTTTAAATTGCCATTTCTGAAAAGCAGCCGAGTAGGATATTTTATTCATCTCAAAACACTCAGTCTACCCGAAACAAACAAAATTTAGGTGCTTTTTGCTTTCTGCTTGCATGTTCTTCAGTTATATTTTTGAAGGGCCAGTGGCTCTGACCCTCCCTACGACTGCTTCCCAGCAACAGTTTTGTTACTCCATTACTGAAAATTCCCCACTGAATGAGTGGGGCTGTTTTAAACCTTTGACTGGGCTTTCAGCATTTATTGTGAGTTTCCAAATGTTTCTTGAATATTTCAATTGTGTATTAAATATGTGATCACCCATAGAAAACTTCTGAACTAAGTACTTCTGAAAGTACTTGTTACCTTGCTCCTATTTGACTTGCTGTTCTCCTAAAATGAGTCAGGTGCTTCTCCTTGTCAAGCCATATAAATGGAGAGCTCGGGATTTTGACTTTCCCCAAAACACTTCTCTTGCTTCATTTTCACATTCAGGCAGTGAAAAATATAGGGACTGATAGCCAATAGCACATTTTGTCTCCAGGCTTTTTTCCAGTTGTTTGTGCATGTTTTGGCAGTAACCTCAGAGAGGAAAGTTCACATCAATTTTTGTACCTTGTCCAAGTATTTGGTGAAGGGCAGACATGGTCATCTAGTTGTGCATTTATTTATGGTTCCTTTTTGCATGAGTATCTGACCACAGCCGCCCCTCTCCTTTCCACAGGCCACGGAAGGCCCTTGTAATGCGCCCAAGCCTGGTGTGTTCGACTTTGTCAATAAGGCCAAATGGGATGCATGGAATGGCCTTGGCAGCCTGCCCAAGGTAAGTCTACTTGTTACCTTGCTCCTATTTGACTTGCTGTTCTCCTAAAATGAGTTAGGTGCTTCTCCTTGTCAAGCCATTATAGACAGAGAGGTCCGGGATCTTGACATACCTCTATTGAACCAGAACGGCCATTCTTTCTTCATTGCAAGATGCTATGTATCAGCCTCGTAAGTTTCTCAAGTACCTATTTGCTGACCATGGGCTGAAACTAGTTGTCATCTTCTCTTTAGGAAACTGCCAGGCAGAACTATGTGGATTTGGTGTCCAGTTTGAGCTCATCTGAGTCCTCTAGCCAGGTAAAACCTGGCGCGGAGAGTAAGCAAGGGGCATATGAATTCCTGGTGGTAACCTCTGAGGACGGCATCACGAAGATAATGTTGAACCGGCCGGCCAAGAAGAACGCTATCAGCACCAAGGTGACTCTTCTTGTACGGGGAGTTTGTCTTCTTTCCTTGTCCTCCTCTGTCCCTCTCAAAAACTGGCGTTTTAGCATTATTCCTGTTTTTGTGCCATCTCTGATTTGATCTGTGACAGAAGATAAGTAATTGCAGCTCCTTCTTACAACAGATTTGGGCTTTCATTGTTTAGAAGATGTGAGCCAGAGGGGCTGTGGCTTTCCTGATGAGGGAAGCACAAATAAATGAATGTAAATGAGGCATACATAAGAACACATTTAGATAGAGGTGCATTCCCAGCCTCCCACCTCCGAGCATGCCTGGGCCCTGGTCCCCAAAGTATCTTCACATGGTTTATACTTGAGAATGACTCTGTTCTCCTTGCATGGAGCTTTATTTTGTATAAGTAGAAGTAGAAAGAAGTGCATCTTAAAGAGATCAGAGATTAAACAGAGCAGAGCTGTTTCACAAGGACAACTGTAGACTTTGGCTCTGTCATTGAACGAGAACAATAATAAAAAATAACCACTTCAGCTCTTACCCCCTGCAAAAAAATTATAGGGAATTAAGTGGATGCTTGGTGCTGAACTGGGAGCAAAATTTGAGAGAAACCCGCTTCCATTGGATCTGTTATCTACATTACAGCAGAAAGTGCATCTAACTTACAATAGCCTTAAGGCAGTTGGACACGTGCCACTTAATAAATAAAGCAGTTGATACTCAAAATTTTATTTTCATTTTCCCACACTGAAATCTCAGTAAGGTAGACATCGCACCAGTTTTACATGCACCAGGAGTTATAGTGGCCACACAACCAAGATTTTCAGAGATGTTGCTGATTTAAAATACTGCCCTTGGATACCATCACCGTGTCCTGGAAATTCCCGCCTTTTAGCTCAGGTCATGAATACCTCCCAGCCTGCCTGGGCACCTAGGCTCTCTCTTAAGGTCCCAACTGAACCATTGTTTCATGGGACACTGTCACTGATCACCTCTCATTCACTTTCCTTGGATAAGTCTCAGCGCCTCCTCTGAGCTTCCTGCTACTTTGTACTTGCCACTTATTTTAGAGCTTCCCCTCTATGAATGCCAAGAGCTCAGTGCCTCTTTGGTTTACTCTTGGGTAAAAGTGGGTATGTTCCCCCATCAGAACACGTAGTAGGGACACAGCACACTCCAACTAATTGAAAAAGAGTGAAAATCTGCTCGGGTGGCATAGCAACCCTTCTGGTGGTGTCAACACAAACAGCCCAGATGTTTGGCACTTAGCAGAGAATGGCCTCCCAGGCTGTCACGCAGTGGGTCTGCCAGGTGGTGGTGGCCACATTCAGAGCCTGTCCTGTTCCTCTCTTCCTCCCCGCAGATGTATCAGGAAATTATGCTTGCACTTCAGGCCGCTGGCAAGGATGACTCAGCCTTAACTGTGTTAACAGGTAAGACATTTTCTTGGACCATTTAATGAAATATCTGTCTTGGGGGGCTCCCTGCTTGATAGGAAGTTGAGTAAAAAGCTCTAAATCTTTGCCAGGACTGAAGTACTCTTTATTCTTAAATATGTAGCAAATATGATAGACACAGGATTGACACCTTTATCATGTAAAAAGCAGATACAAATTGGTGAGAAAAGTACTAAATCAATGGTACATATCTGAAAGGTATTTAATATTATATGATGTTGCTTAAAAAAACAAGTATAGGACTTCCCTTGTGGTGCAAGGGGTTAAGACACAGCACTACGAAGCTATCCACAGCCACTTCAGCACTGAGTTGGATTCCCGGCCAGGGAGCTACCCACATGGTGCAGCAGACCTCTCCTGTTTCCCCCGCTGCTCCCCTCAGCAGTGTATTTCAGTAGATCTGCCTGTTCTACTCCCTACTCTTGTCTTTGGTGAATCCTTTCACCCCGACACCTCTGGCCTGTACCCCAGTTCTTGTATGCATAAATAAATAAATCTTTTTTAAAAAATGGAGAACTAGGTGCCTAGGTGCAGAGGGTGATGTGATCACGCAGATCTGAAGAGCAGTCAAGCTGTCCCCCTAAATAAAATACAGTACTGTAAACCCAAAAAAAGTTTCTAAGATCTGTTAGATACAGTGGTGAATAAAAATGAATTGACAATTTACATGAGAAAGTCCAGGTAGAAGACAATTTAAAAAAAATGCATTTCATTAATAATCACAGATACATTGATGAGATTCTATTAGAATGATGAGATTCTATTTTGTCCTCTAAACTTGCAAAGTTTTTAATTATAACCAATTTTGACAAGGTTAACGTAGAAGTGTCTCGTATCTTGCTGATAGCAGTATAAACAGCTATAAGAAGTGTAACTAGGGCCTCCCTGGTGGCACAAGAGGTTAAGCACAGCACTATGAAGTTATCTGGAAGCCTCTGCAGCACGAGTTCGATCCCCAGCCAGCCAGGGAGCAAGCCATATCGCACAGAAGACACTTCTGACTTGCCCACTGCTCTCCTCAGCAGTGATTTTCAGCCAGTCTGCCTATTCTGCTCTCCACTCTATTTCTGGTGAATCCTCTCACCTCCCCGCACCTATGGCCTGTACCCCAGTTCTTGTATGCATAAATAAATAAATCTTTAAAAATAAAGAAGTGTAACTAGGTAAGGAATAGGGCATTTTGCAGTATATAAAATGTTCATATCTTTTGGTACAGGAATCCTACTTCTGGGAATTTTTTTAGGAAGATTATCTAAGAACAGGGGAGTTGTTAGGCAGGTTTTTGCAGCATTACATATAGTTGTGAAGACATTCTAACATTGCCATGATAGAATAATAAAACAAATCATAGACTATCCACTTTATTATATAGTGCACAAGTATTAAAAATTGTAATTGTAAAAACCAACAATATTGAAAATGTTTAATATATATTTTTTAACTCTAAAAATTTTATTAGTATTATGGTTATAACTGGAAAATATTGTGGATAGCTATGGACCTAGGTTGATGAGAACATGAAAAATGAAAGTCATTGGATTTGGAAGGGATGCCGTGTGTGGTGGTTAAGGCTAAGGCTTAGGACTCAGATCAACTTGAGTTAAAATCCTGACTTCATTTCTTATTAACCGTGAGCAACCTCTGCTTCCCATATGGACAAGACAGTGCTTACTAATCCCATTGAATGGTTGGGAGGACGACATGATGTAGTGCAGGTGAGAGGCAAGGCGGGTACTTGATGGATGTCAGCTTTTACTCTTGGCATTTCCCAATTTTCTCCTTGTAATCAGTTTCTAGTTTCATACCATCGTGGTCAAAAAAGATACTTGCTATGACTTCAGTCTTCTTTAATTTATTAAGACTTGTTTTGTGACCTAAGGTATGACCCATCCTGGAGAATGTGCTATGCATACTTGAGAAGATTGTATATTCTATTGCTTTCAGATGGAATGTTCTGGATATAGAACATTAAGTCTACCTGGTCTAATGTATTGCTTAAGGCCAATGTTTTCGTATTGATTTGCTGTCTAGATGTTCTACCCATTGACCACGACGGTATATTCAAGTCCCTCACTGTTATTTTCCTTTTAGGTCTATTAATGCATACTTTATATACTTAGACGCTCCTATGTTGAATGAATATTTACAAATGTTTGTCTCTTGTGGATTGACCCCTTTACCATCCAGTACCCTACTTTGTCTCTTATTACAGACTTTGTTTTAAAGTCTATTTTTTCTGAAATAACTAGAGCTATCCCAGTTTGGGTTTTTGGTTTTTTTTTTTTGTGGGGGGCGGGGGGCTTTCATTTACATGGAATATCTTTTTTCAATCCTTCACTTTCACTCTTTACATCTGAAGCAAATATGTTATAGGCAGCATAAAGGAGGATCTTGGTTTTTATCCACTGAGTCTCTCTCTCTGTCTTTTGATTGGATAATTTAGTCCATTCACATTCAGAGTAATTATCTATAGTGTGTACTTACGGCCATTTTATTACTTGTTTTCTGGCTGTTTTTTAAACTCCATACTAACTTTATAAATGATTAATCCACTTTACTGTATTTTTACAGTGAGATTTATTCTTTCTTGTTGCTAATTAGCACCTTTTCTATTCAGTTTAAAGAAGTCCCTTTATCATTTCTTCCTAGGCTGGTTTAGCGATGATGAACTTCTTTAACTTTTGCTTCTCTGGAAAAGTCTATCCTTCAATTCCAAAGCTTACTTTCTCACAACAACCCTTTGAGGTATTTACAATGATCAAAACCCACTAAACTAAGTTTAAAAACTGGCCAGCTTATTGTATGTAAATAAATACTTTAAAGCAACACAACTTTGGTGGCTCTTAGAATGAAACTAACAGCTCAACAAAATCCCACCATCTGTCCTGCCCGTGCTCAGTCTACAGCTTGTCCCCCTGACTTTTTCTGCTTGGATGCAGTGACACTTCTTTCAGCCCATCACAGACACCAGCACCTGTGTGCATGCTCTTCCCTCTGCGAGAACCTTCTTCCCAGCCCTCTTTTTCTAGCTCACCTTACCTGCCCTGCAGATCTCATTTCAGTTGTACCCTCCTTGGGAAGAAGCTCTGATTAAAACCCCTTTCATTCTCATATTATCACAGACCTGTCTTGGATCATTGTTGCATTTATTTGTGTGTTTTTAGATCAATGTCAAGCACATTTGTCAGCCTGTAAATGAGGGCAGGAACTATACGTTTTTCCAGTGCTTGCCATAGAGCCTGGCACATAGCAAATATTCAGTAATCATAGAGTGAATACACATTCACCTGTTCCATTGATATTATTTACAGGAAATGGTGATTATTACAGTAGTGGAAATGATCTGAATAACTTCACCGACATTCCCCCTGGTGGAGTAGAACAGAAAGCTAAAGATAGTGTCATTTTAGTGAGGTAAGTGGGACATTGTTCTGATACCAGAGGGCTCTTCCCTAGTCATCAAAGTGGTGTTGAGTTGAGCAAAAGTGAAATAAAAAGGTCTATGGGGCCTCCCTGGTGGCTGAAGGGGTTAAGTCTCAGCACTTTGAAGCTATCCGTAGTACAAGTTCTATCCCCAGCCAGGGAGGTGACCCACCCATGGAACAGCAGACCTCTTCTGTCTCCCCACTGCTCCCCTCAGCAGTGTATTTCAGTGGATCTGCCTGTTCTGATCCCCACTCTGTCTCTGGTGAATCCTCTCACCCCCGCAACTCTAGCCTGTACCCCAGCTCTTCTATGCATAAATAAATAAAATAAATCTTTTAAA